TTCTCTTTGAAATTTGTAAACAAAAAATTCTGAAAACATTTACAGCTAACTCAGATTTTTTTTTTTTTTTTTGAAAATTTGAAATGTTTTAAAACAAAACATTGATTAAATGTATTTATTAATAAATTATACAGCAATTTATTCCATTATGAGAAAGAAATGAAGCATTTCGAAGACTTATATTTTGAAGTAATAATGAACAGTCCTAAAATATCTCTTCAAAAAAGCATAAATGCTGAAAGTATTAAGCTCAAATAATGTTATTAGCATTTAAAAAGATGCAATAGATGATAAATATTAAATTTGATTCTTTTCAAATTCTTTCTTTCCTTTTTTTGTTTTGCAAAATTTGAGAACTTTTCCATAGATTTTCCATTTCCATTTAATAGTGATGTTATCAAATTATAATTAAAATGCAATTTACATTTTAAACAATACGAAATATAATTTAAAATAACTGGAAACAAAGTAATGATTGAAACAATCTTAACTTGTATGCAAATAGATGTATTTTGTATCACCAAATTTGATATATATATGTATATGATTGAAGATGTATGATGGAAAAAAAGAAACGAAATTTAATTAATGAATATTAATTCAACCATTGATTGAGAATTTTAAAATTTTAAAACAACTAAATTAAAGAAAATTGCATTGGTTGCATACAGTAAAAATATTATTTATCAAATTGCAAGTATTCATTTCGTAGTAAATAAGTTTTAGTTCCACGTTTTATACACAAAAAAAAAAGTAAAATTTTAAACTTTAAAACATATTACCTTTCTTTTAAATTATTAATTGTTAATTACTAATTAGATTGATAACTAATTATTGATTGAATTCTTTCCCACTTTTTTTTTTTTTTTTGCTAGTACTTCGAATATTTTCAACAAATACGTTTGAATCGAATGTTTTATACTAAGCGTAGCAAATGTTAGAGTAGATTTTTTTTTTTAATTTTTTCATAAATTCCCATTTCTTTTTTTGCTATATTCTATGCATAAAAGTTTTTTTTTCTTTCTTTAAGAAGGAATTGTTCAAAATTAGCAAAAATTTGCAGACAAACTTGTTTAAGTTATTTAAAATGTAGAAAAAATTAAAAAGAAAAACTTTTATCTTTAATTCATTTAAAGTTTAGTAGAAACAAAAATTAATCGAAGGCGACAATTTTTGGAAGCAACTCTTTTAAATTACATATAATTGATTAGAACATAACGACGATAGGATTCATTAACATTAATATAAAAAAAAAAAAAAATAGTTGTAAATATTTGAAAAATAGCAGTAATTAATGAAGGAAGCGGATAAAAATTAATTTCTAGAAGTGTCACTAAGGAAATTACTATTCTGAGATCATTGAACATTTTAAAATTTGCCACTGTTTGTTTTATCATTTGAAATTATCAGTTGGATATGTGATGTTTGAATTTGTATTTTCTAACGAATGTTCTTTCTCACAACGTTTCACTTCTTTGAATAAAAGTTCTGAAATGAAACAATAAATTACTATCAATGTATATCTAATCGATAAATTTGATAATTTTAAATTTCAAAAGTTGACTTGTATTATTGTTAAGCATAACCAGTATCCTTTGCATATTACAAAATGTACTAAACAATCTTCTAAGTATGTTAACATACCACGACTATGATAATAGAAAAATTGTGGAAGTAAATTTCTTGTTATTATAAATTAATTGAAACATTTCAGTTATTATTTTTTCAATTATCCCTTGCTATCCAAAAATTTCAATGAAAAAATTGAAAATTAAAGATTGAAAATTCTAATAAATTGTAAAAAAATTGATATAAATATAATAGAAAAATTGAAAATAAATTGAAAATTTTGTCATTTAATAATTTAATTTTATAAAAAATTCTTAAGATTGATTAATTGTAACCTTTCCATGAATTTATTGGTAATTCGGTGAGGTCATAATTTGCATCATATCGATTTTCTGGAAGTGATACATTCCATTCCTCATCTCTAAACCATAAATTTACGTAAGGATGACGTACTGCTTCATCAACACTTATCCGTTTTTCCGGATCAATTTGGAGCATTTTGAATAGTAAATCACGTGCCACGGAAGCTAAAAGAATTATTGCTTTTTTAAAATACAGTGTAGATGAAAGCCAAAATTACGTATGCATTAACTTTCATATTTTGTAAACATTTTTTGCACATCTGAAACAAATGTTGTAAATATGGTAGCATAAAATGATGACGTAGATACGGTAACATGAAATAATGACGTAGATATGGTAGCATGAAATGATAATCTAGATGTGGTAGCGTAAAATGATGACGTAGGTATGGTAGCGTAAAATGATGATGTAGATTTGATAACGTAAATACGCTAATGTAAAAAATTTTGCAAAGACAAAAAAAAAAAAAAGAAACGATATGATAAATTTATTATGTTGTTATTAAAATTTTTCTATCAGCATAAATTATTAAGGAAGAATTGAACTAGTATTTTATGATAAACATAATCATGATAATCAATGATAATTATGATTATAATTTGGTGAAAAAGAATGTAAGTAGTTGTTAGACTGATTATGAAATGATATATTAGAATAAATTCTAAATGAGCAAATTTCTCTTAGAAATATTGTAATTAACATTATGTTAAAAATACGATAAATAATTACAATGTTAATTAGATGATTTTAACGATATGATTAACTTGTATATATATAATTTTTACAGAAGGAAATTTTTTTTTTTCTTCCATAAAAAGTAGATAAAATATTCAAAAAAAAAAAAGAAACAAACCACAAAGCTGTGGTGCTTTCGAATAACTTCCAATGAAGCATTCATCTGGGAAAATTTTTTCAAATGGTAATGGATCATTGTGTCCTTTACTTCTAACATAATTTTTAGTATGATGTTCTAATCTAAAAATATATTATTAATAAAATTATGCATAAATAAATTATGATTTAAAAAATTTTTCAAATCAATTTGTTATTATTCAAATCATTTCAAATTTTCCATACATTTATGGAAAGTTTTAGCATACTTTAATTTATCAAATTATATCATTAATTTGAAAAAATGTGACATTACGCATAATAATAACAACTTATTAATAAATTCTTGGCTTGGTGTTCCCAAAATTTCAATAATTTTATTCCATTGATCAAGTCGATCGGTACCCGGGAATAAAGTTTTCCTATTGATCATTTCGGCTAATATGCAACCAATTGCCCAAACATCAACTGCAATAATTTGTTGTACTACTAAAAATAGCGTATTTTATCTTTCTTTTTTTTTTACGTAATCATTTTCTTAGCTTAAATTGTGTTTTTCAAATTTTTGAAATTAAATGTTTTCTCAGAAAAAACAATCATTTCACTAAATTTTGAATGAAATTTTGTTAAATTTAATCTATAAAAAAATCTTTCATATGAATATTTTCTTTGAATTATATCTATCCATTTATTCACTTAACAACAAAATTTCTGCAACCATAAAGGATTAAACAAATTATTATTATCATTGATAATTTTGATAATTGTTATTATTGATATCAAAAATGGAACCTTTTTCATCATATGGAAGGCCAAGGATCACTTCTGGTGCACGATAGTATCGTGTCACAACATAAACAGTCATACGTTCGCCTGTTTCAATTTTTCTTGCTAAGCCAAAATCAAGAATTTTCAAGATGCATTTATCATTTACTACAATATTACTTGGCTTCAAATCCTAAAATTCATTTCTAATTTTTTTTCTTTTTTGCTTTTATAATAAATACGTTTCAGTGGTTTACAATTTCAAATATTTACTATAATTAGTTCTAATTGTCATTAATGATAAGCAATGTAGCCATACTAATTAATTACAATTAGTCCTAACTATTATTAATGATAAACAACGTAGTTATTGCTAATCCATTACAATTACTTCTAATTATTGCCAATGATAAGCAATAATAGTGTTACAAACTAATTATAATCAGTTCTAATTATTGTTAATGATAAGCAATCTAGCCATGCTAATTAATGATAATTAGCTTTGATTGTTATTGATAAGCAATGTAGTTATGTTATTAAATTAATTTGTTCCGTTGTTGTGTTTTTCTTTTCTTTTTTTTTTGTTTCCTTTTTTGAAA